AAGTGATGCAGTTAAACTCAATCTCTAAGAAGTCATCCAGTACTAAAATGCTAAGTTTTCTCAAGTTCAGTTTCTCTCATTATAAAAATTCAATTTATGATAAAATCACCCTATTGTTTTATAAAGCAGGAAATGAATTCTGAATATATCAGCCAAAGACTGTGGGAGAAGTTTCACCACACAATTTTTGTGGAATCTTCCAATTTTAAAATCTAGTGATTTTTTAAAAGCTTCTTAGTGAGGAGGAAGTATGCTCAATCATTAATTCATTTAACATACACATCAGAGAACAGGCTCTCCTCATCCTATTTCAAGAACAGTTAGCAAGGTAGAAAGGAGAGAGCAGCAGTACCTTGGGGCTCAGGTAAACTCAAAAGGAATTGCACCGCCATTATGGTGTGGAGAGGTAAAGTTTAGCTGGGTTATTTAAGGAAATGGAAGAGTAGTATGATTATAGTCTGCAGGATAGAATAACACTGGCTGCAATCCTGCTGCCTTTGGGCAGAATTGAGGTGAGAAGAACTGATCCCAGGACAGACTTTCCCACACAGGGAAGTGCACAGCTGTAGTGGTGTGGGCATCCTAGGGAGACTTCCTTTATATGGGCTTTTTCTGTGCATTCCATTGGTGTACTAATTCAGTAGGAAGGCAGCCTGAGGGGCAAACGTGGTGTGAAAATGTCTCCTGAATTTCCTCACCCTCATGGACAAAGTCTTTTGTTCATTGTTTTCCCCCTGCCAGCAATTTTCGAGGCCCAGAATTGCACCGTTTATTTACTACACCATTGTGAAATGATGAAACTAATCTATGTTGCTTTCTGTCTTTGACCCAGATCAATTTGTTAGTTTTGAAAAATGAAAAGCTTTTGCAAAGTTTGAGGAAACAGAGTATGAATTACCAAATAGAGAAGCATTTCTTTGCTGTGGAAAATACAGGTAAGAGCTGAGGTACTCCTCAGGGTTATACATTCTACTAGGCCCATGAGAAAATAATTATATGCACTTTGCAACTATATTTTAAATTAAGCATTGTTATTAATGTTTTATCACAAAATTATTGATTTTATTTTTTAAATAGATAATTTAAGAAGTTTTCTATATTCTTGGGCCCAGAAGTTTGTTGTAAGAATACATAAATGGTTTTTCGATGAAAGTCAATGAGAAAACTATACTTACTAGAAACTTTTTGACATTCCTTCGCTCTTCAACTCCAATATAAGGCTACATGTTACAGACTGACACAATTTAGGCCATAATTATAAATGTGAGCCTTCCTTGCACTATATGGTAAGTTGGCTAGAGCACGAAAGAAGTGAATGAATGTCCTTGCTGGCATAGTAGCCACAAACGAAAATTCATCAGAAGCCTCAAAGGCATCAGTTAGCATTGGAGACCATTTCTCATCATTGATAAGCTCAAGAAATGAGATTTTTCAAGTCTCTTTGACAAATGTTTACCAAAAATGTGAAGATGGTTTTTGAGATACCTATCACTTTTGTGTTATTACCAGTTGGTATTACATTATATGTGAAAGGTAAACCAAGGAATGGAATCAATTTATGATAAAGTAGAACCAACCCGCCCTCCCCCAAAACTTTATTAGCTCAATATTTGAAAGTTCTATAAATCAGGAAGTTTTAGATCCATAAGAACTTGAAAGTGACAACAGTAACATTTAACTTTTAAACATGTATAGTTTTTTAGGACTCATTTTAACAACTTGGTTTTCTGTTTCATAAATCTAAACTAGATCTGTAAGAATACTTTGGGAGTACTTTAATCATTAGGACACAAACCTCTAAGCTAACTTCAGAATGATTCCTTAATTAACACTTAAGATATGGTATACTAGAGAAAAAATTGGTGGAATTAGAGACAGAAGACCTGAGCCCCTGTACCTCCCTATATCTTAGTACCTGTGTGATGCTGGGCAAGTTATCTTCTGGGCATCAGTTTCCTTGCCTGTAAAGTGAGGGAATTGTACTCAACAATGCCTCTGATGTCCTTTCTAACATGAAATGTATGATGGGGATGAACTACCCTTCTTGAATATTCAGTCCTCAGTTAAGAAAAGGATTTGGTTATGATACAAGAACCTTGAGCCACAGTGGGAGACTCACCTTCCTTTTCTTTGGCTACAATAGATAATGAAGGAAGGAGTGTTAGGGCTGGGGCTGGGGGAGCCCAGCAGAAAGGAAGAGGAGGAGGAGAAGGAAGAGGAGAAGAAGGAGGAGAAAGAAGATACTTTTACTTTAGCTTTTGCAGTCTCAAGGTTACTGCTGCAAGAGAGGAAGAAATACATCAATCAGGATGAGAATTCCTTACAAAAAGGAGACACAATGACAAATACAAAACACTCCCACAATGTCAAGACTACCACCAGGTGTCAGTATAACCTAAAGCATGGCTACAACAATTTGTGTTTACTTATAAATTGTAGCTATTTCAAATCAGAACTATATAAGTATTAGTCTAACAAGTCTTTTCATCTCAGAACTTAGCACATCAATAATCTCTGAGAATCCTGTTGTACAAAAAAACTACTGAATTTCAACCACCGAATCATTTCATCACTTTTCTCATGATATGGTAAAAAAAAAATAGAGCCAATTGAAATGAAAATATCTGAAGGAAAACACAAGTAGAGCCACAAGGAGTTAAGCTTTTGCTTCTCTGCTAAGAGAGTCACTTCCTTCTGTCCCTCTGATAAGATCTTAAGGCACTAAAGTCCTCCCTGGACTTAATGAGACAAACATACATGAATCCGGTCTACTTTATTTACTTAAAGAAAACAAAACAAAACCTTCACTGATTGTTTCATTGCGGGTGGGGGTGGATGGGAGAACAGCGCTCATCTGTGTTTTAACTACAGTGAGGTGGCAGAGGATAGAATGCCAGGCCTGGAGTCAGGAAGATTTCTCTTTGTGAATTCAAATCTGGACTCAGACACTAGCTGTGTGACCTTGGGCATGTCACTTAACCCTGTTTGCCTCAGTTTCCTCATCTGTAAAATAAGCTAGAGAAGAAAATGGCAACCACTCCAGTATCTCAGCCAAGAAAACCCCATATCGAGTCACAAAGAGACAAACATATTTGAAAAATGCCTGAACAACAAATCCTTCCAGGAAAGCTTTTGAGAGATATGTGTGTGTCTGTGTGTCTCTGTGTGTGTATCTTTCATGTATAGAATAACAGTGACATTTCAACATGTGCGGAAATTACCACTAGAATCGGCACCAAACCCTTTAGCTATAAAGAAAGTCAGCCTCTAAATCATGTGAAACAGATGGCTGTCCATCCAATTTTAAATATATTTTCATTTCAGGTGGCTGAAGGCAGTTTAGTCATCACCAAGGTTCATCTTTCCATACTAAAAAAATTATATGAATTTTACTTCTGAAGACTTACTATAAGAACCGCAGCAGATAGTGCTACACCTGGGGTCAAGAAGATCAATCTCAAATCCTTCCTCAGACACTTACTATCTCTGAGACCCTTGGCAAGTCACTTTCTTCTCTAATCTGTCCTCTGTAAAGTGAAAGCAACTGCTTCAAAGGGTTGTTGTGAGGATGAAATGAGGTAAAATGTATCAGTCAGTCCACCAGTAAACACTTCATACGCACCTACTGTGTACCAGGCACTGTGCTAAGTGCCAGGGATACAAAGACAGGCAAAAGACAACCCCTGCCCTCAAGGAGCACACAGTCTAATGGGAGAGATAACATAAAACAGCTATGTACAAACAAGTTATAGATAGGATACATTGGAAATAATCACTAGAGAAAGGACACTAGAATTAAAAGGGATTAAGAAAGCCTGCCTATAGTAGGTAAGATTTTAACTGGGCCTTAAAGCAAACCAGGAGGAGAGGATGAGGATGGAGAGGAATGGGAGATAACCAGTGAAAAGGCCCAGAGTCTAGAGATGGAGAGTTTTGTTTGAGGAACAGCAAAGGGGCCAGTGTCACTTTCTCCTCTGGAGCTATATAGGCCCAGTGGTAAGATATAGATCAGGATGACTGGAGACTGAGAATGTGTAAGAAGAGTGGGAAAGTGTGTGTGTTGGGAGCAGCTTATAAAGGGCTTTGAATGCCAAACTTATGATTTTATATTTTATTCTGGAGGTGAAGTACTGCATAAATGTTAGCTATAATTACGGTAGCTACACTACTTGTAATCCTTTTTACACATTTATTTAAATAGAAGGCAATTTCTTTCTTCTTCTTCTTTTCTTTTTCAAATGAGGAATCTTAAGGATAATTTGCTATATCACTACAAGCAACTCTCCATTGAGATCCAGATATATTTCAATAGGTTAGTATTTGAAATGTAGAATCTCACAGAAGGATTCATTTCAGGCTTTTCGACACCACTTTGTATTTAATATGTCTTATAGAAGGTTTTTTAATACTAACTCTATTATGGTGGACTTCTGTTTAACTTGTGGTTGACTTCAGCTCCTAGGTTTTTGCCTCATTAGTTTTTCTCTATGTAACAAGACCCTGGAGATGAATGCCTGTTGGCAGGTAGGAATCTCCCATCATTCCTTTCCTTGACCTCGAGTGAGCTTCCTCTGACTCTGTGGCTGGCCAGACTTGAGTGTCTGGGTGAGCCCCTCCCAAGTTACAGCAGGTGGCTAGTGGGAGTATACCAGACACTATGAATTTGGAGAAGAGGTAGGGAGAGGAATAGAGAAGTGGTAACAGCACAGAGCTAGGAACCAGAGGAACCATGTGTAGCTGCTAGAGAGTGCAGTAGTGAGAAGCCCCCATGGAAGGAGAGGCTGCTGGAATGAGGTCACAAGGGCTGTATTTCTCTACCAGTGCCAGCTTTTGTTACCATGAGGCCTGTGGAGGATGGATCTGTGCTTTCTCAAGATGCATTTAGAGGGAAGGCATAAGGCTTTGAATGCTCATTTCCCCCCCCTTTTCCTCTGTTCTTTTTTCCCCCAAGGGTGTGTGCATTCTCCCAAAATTTATCTGATTCTTTAAAGTATATTTACCTTGCCTTTGAAGACACTTTAAAAGTACACTTTGTTAACCATTACATTGCTGATCCAGGCATTCATTACTCAAATGTAGCATGGTTGTGCCTGTAAGGAAATAGCCAGGAGGGGAAAGAGAGAGATTCAAAACAATCATATTTTACCAGAGTGTTACTTTTCTCTTGTTCAGTCATTCCAATCATGTCTGACTCTTTGTGACCTCATTTGGAGTTTTCTTGGCAGAGATACTGGAGTGGTTTGCCATTTCCTTCTCCAGCTTATTTTATAGGTGAGGAAATTGAGGCAAACAGAGTTAAATGACTTGCCCAGGATCACAGATCTAGTAAGTGTCTGAGGCAGAATTTGAACTCATGAAGATAAGTCTTCCTGACTCCAGGACTCTAGAGTTCCCATGGAATAGTTTGAAGGGAAAAGCAAGCCTCCTGAGGGAAGGAGCTATGGAGATGGTCATAGTAATATCAATCCTATAATAAGGAAAGGAGCAACAGGTGAAAGTGAATGAGCCTGGATCACCTGCACAGGCCAATAGCACACTTCCACTGCTAGCTCTCCCTGAATACAGGGGCTATATTTTAGGAAGGGTGTTGATGAACTAGATAGCAAACAGAGGAGAGTGTTGAAGAGAATGATGAAATGCTTTGAAACATTCACCAAGAGGAACCAGTAATGTTTAGCCTGAAGAAAAAAAACATTGAGGATATATGATGATTACTTTCAAATACCTGAAAGTCTATCATGTGGAGGCAGTATCAGATTTGCTGTTTTTGGCACCAGAAGTAAGAAGGCAGCACCATTTATTACTATATATCTCCTATGATGCGCCCCAGCACTGCCTTATGTGCTAGGGATACAAAGAAAGGCAAAAACAGTATCTGTCCTCAAAGAGCTTACAATGTAACAATCATGACAACAGAAACAACTATGAACAAACAAGATACATACAGATTAACTGGAGGAAATCTTAGGGGTAAGGCATAGGGTAAGATACTGTAGAACTAGAAAGGTAGGAGAGGGCCAGCTTAAGAAACATTTTGAAAGCATTTTATATTTGATCCTGGAGATAACAGGAGGTCGCTGGAGTCTACCGAAGGGGGAAAGAGGTGCGAAAGAACTAAAGAGCAATATGTAGAAATTGTGGAGTCACTTTTCAGGCCAAAATAAAAGAAAAAACAATTCCTAACATTTAGAGATTTCCTAAAGGGGAATAATTCTGGGGATCCAGCTACCAAAGCAGATAAAATACTTGAAAATATTCAATTACAAAGTCCTCCTTAGAAAAATAAAGACCAACTTAAATAACTGAAGAAATATTCAGTGCTCATGGCTGGGCCATACCAATGGAATAAAAATGAAAATGTTACCAAAGTTAATTTACACTTTTTAATCTATACCAATCAAATTATCCAATGGATACTTTACAGAGCTCAATAAAATAATGTTGTGATTCAGTAGTTTCAGGCAAGTCTAACTCTTCATGACCCCATCTGGGGTTTTCTTGGCAAAGATATTGGAGTGGTTTGCCATTTTCTTCTTTGCCATTTTACAGATCAGAAAACGGAAGGAAATAGGGTGAAGTGATTTGATGAGGGTCCCACAGTATGTGTCTGAGGGCAGATTTGAACTTAGGAAGATGAATCATCCTGACTCCAGACCCAGCACTCCATCCACTATACCAACTAGCTGCCCTAATCAAATAATAGCACAGTTCATTTGGAAAAATAAAAGATCTAGAATTTCAAGGGAAATGATGAAAACAGGTCAGTATGGAAGACCTTGGACTATATTATAAAACTGAAGTCATTAAGGCCACTTGATATTAGTTAAAATATAGAGAGGTAGATCATTGGAACAGACTAGAGAAAGAAGAATTAGAAACAATAAAATTTATTTATCTAGTATTTGATAAAACCAGAAAAACATAAATTACATAGGAAAGGACTCCCTATTTGATAAAAGTGGCTGGGAAAACTGGAAAGCAGTGTGGCAGAGATAAGATTTAGATTAACATTGTCCATCATATTCTATAATACGTTCTAAATGGATATGCAACTTTGATATTAAAGAAAATACTATAAAAATTAGAAGAGAAGCAGATCCTATAGCTCTAATAGCCAAGGGTAGAATATATATATATATATATATATATATATATATATATGCATACATACATATATACATATATATATGCATACATACATATATACATATACACACATACATATATGTATATATATATGTGTGTGTGTATATACATACATATATATGTGTATGTATGTATATATGTGTATATATATATACATATATATATATATATATATATGATTGCAATTTCTACATATTGCTCTTTAATTCATGAGCACCTGTTCCCCCATTCAGTGCACAAACAAAATTAACACATTTAGGATATGACGAGAGGAAATTAAAAGGTAAAAACAAAGTCTTTTTATCAAATGTCTCTGACAAGGATTTGCTATTCAAGATATAAGATACACACACACAAACTATATATATATATATATATTTATATAAAATACACACACACATACAACTACATCCCAATAAATGATCAAAGGATATGAACAGTTCTCAAACAGAGAATTGCAAACTATGAAAATATGAAGAATGCTCCAAATCATAAGAGAAAAGTAAATCAAAACAAATCTTGAGATTTCACCTCACACTCTGCAAATTAGCAAAGATGACAAAAGTTAGGAACAGTCAATGTTGAGAGGGGTTGTGGGAAAATAGGCACATTAGTATGTTGTTAGCAGAACCATTAATCAGTACAGCCACTTTGGAAAGCAATTTGGAATTATGAAAATAAAGATTCTAAAATCTCTATGCCCTTTGACCTACAGATTCCATTCGTAGGCTTATACCCCAAGGAAGCCACTGATAAGAAGGAAAGTCTCCATATACATCAAAATATTTATAGCAGCACTTTTTTTGTGTGATAGCAAAGAATTAGAAATAAGGGAGAAGCTCATCAATGGGGGGATGGCTAAACAAATTGTGGGATATAAATGTAATGGGATATTTGTCCCTTAAGAAATATTAAATATTTTTTAAAAAGAAATATTGAATATGATGAATTCAGAGAAGTGTGGAAAGATTTATATGAAATGATGTAGAGTGAAGTAAGCAGACCCAAGAAGACGACATTCACAATGATTATAACAATGTAAATAGGAAGAACTACAAATAAAAAAAATTAAAAGTGAATGTTGCAAAATTATGAAGAACAAACATGGCTTGAAAGAACTGATATGAGAAGATACTTTCAACCCACCATAATCTTTTGCAGGTGTGGGAGATCCACAAATGTACACTGCATATATTTTCAGACTTTTTTTTTGATATATTGATTGGTTAATTTAACTTTTTTCCTCTTTTTGGCTTTAAAAAAATACTCTTTAAAATATGGGGTTGCTCTCTGGAAGGGGAAGGGATACTGAGGAAAATTATGATATAAAAAACAAATGACATTCATAAAAACTTTTTTTAAGGTGGATTAGGCTACTATAGGAGGCAGCTAGTTCCTTCTCACTAGAGGTTTGCAAGTGAAGGCTGGATGACCATTTGTGGTGGGGATGTTGCAGAAAGGATAATGGGTTAGTTAAGAGTTGGCACAGTTGGCCTTATTCTGAGATTCCATGATCCCCCCCCTCCCATTCCTGGATACTAAATAGTAGACTGACTTCTCTATAGGTACAACATTTTCTGCTTCTATATGTTTTTTATTAGTGTTCTTTCATAAGCTATAAACCCCCAGAGGGCAGATACTGTTATCTATGTACTTTTGTACAGCATTCTGTACAGCTCTACATGCAAGAGTCACTTAACTGGTTTTCAAGATGATAATGACTTCCTTTAATCAATGAGACTTGCTTCAGGAAACACATCTGGTACAGCATATTCACAGTAGGAATATCATCCAATATTGTTAACAATGAATCTGATAAGTTCCTAAAATAATTGGAAAGGAAAAATAAAATTAACGTGTGTTAGGGACGGGGGAGATTGCTGAAATCCAAAGACATGCCTTACATTAAATCATTTGAATTGGTCACATGTTAAAAAAAAAGTATGATACATAGTATTTAACAGCATGATTAATGTGATCATCCTTTAAATCAAGCTATACAGGAGAACACTAAGCAGAGAAGTATACATGAATGAGGGATCAGAAGGAAAAGATTAAGGCAATATACACCTTAGAGAGAAATAGGGATTGCTAAGGGGTAACTAGGGGGTGAAGTGGACAGAGCACTGGGCCTAAGAAATCTGACCTCAGACACTCACTAGCTGTGTGACTCTGGGCAAATCACTCAACCCTGTTTGCCTTGGTTTCCTCATCTGTAAAGTGATCTGGAGAAGGAAATGGCAAACCACACCAGGATCTTTGCCAAGAAAATCCCAAATGAAGTTACAAAGAGTCAGACATGACTGAAACTACAGAACAATAACAACATAGGAACTAGACCTGTGCTTAATTAGTATAGGGAATTCTCATGTGAGGAAATTCTCTCTATTAATGCAGGTTAGACCCTTCTCTGCAACTTATAGTCTTAGAGAGTTGCTTAGGACACTGAGAAGTCAAGCATCTCTATCTGCTATTCCACATTATATTTTCATTTGTTCCTGAGGTTTCTGTCTCAAATGAGGTCAAGACTATATCTGCCACCAAGTTCATCATAACAGTTCCTCAAGATAATGGTTTAGTGCTCCTTTGAGAAACTCCAGAAAAAAGTACCACACGAGAATAGATATTTGAAGGACTTATAGGATTTGGAGCTGGATTGGGCTCTTTTTGGTCACCTAGTCTCATTTCCTCAATTTACAAAGGAGGAAAGTGAAGCTAACAAAGGGGAAGTAAATTTCCCAGCAATAACAGTAATTTAAAGACTTCACAGATGCAGAACTGGAAGGTATGTCAGAGAACATTTAGTGATAGCATCATATGTTTAGATCAAGAAGGAGCCACAGAACCACCAAGGTCATGTAGTCCAACCTTGTCATTTTATTTATTTTTCCTGACATTTTAATTTTATTTTTAAAAATTCTACCATTCCAGCCTTAATAAACACCATTTAAAATGGGTATTTCCATATACATGGCAGAAGAGAACAATGAAACTGTACATGAAATAGCAGGTTTATATTACGTATAATTTGTTTTTCTTGCTTTTCAAGAATCTCAAATGTTATAATAGAAAAAAGTAGAAAGGAAGGGGGTCTATCAATACTTGAACTCAAACTGTACTACAAAGATGTAATTATAGCAATATGGCATTGGTTTTATAAGAGAGAAAAGTTCATCAGTGGAGCAGATTAGGTATACAACATCTTAAAGCAAATCAACACAGTGGTATAGTTTTTGGTATATCCAGATTACTGGGGGAAGAAATTACTGTTTGACAAAAAGGTCTGAGAAAACTGAACAGCAGTCTGGAAGGAATTAGGTTTATACAAATAACCTTTTTTTGGTGTTGTTGAGTCATTTCAGTCATGTCCAACTCTGCATGGCCCCATTTGGGGTGTTCTTGGCAAAGATACTGGAATGGTTTACTATTTCCTTCTCCAGCTCATTTTTCAGATGAGGAAATTGAGGAAAACAAGGTTAAGTGACTTGCCTAGGGTCACACAGGTAGTAAGTGGCTGAGGCAGAATTCAAAGTCTGGAGTCCTCCTGACTCCAGGCCTGGCATTCTATCTACTGCACCACCTAGCGGCCTTAATCAATACCTTACATCATACAAGATTAGCTACATATGGATACATTACCTAGGTATAAAAGGTCCAATCATAAACAAATGAAAGGAGTAAGGAAATTACCTTTTAGATCTATGGATAGGGGAAGAGTTCATAATTAAACAAGTGACAGAAAAGATCACACAAGATAAAATTTAGCAATTTTGATTATAAGAATCGAAAAGGTTTTGGATAAACATATAATATAGTAAAAATTAGAAGACAAAACAGGCAACTGGAAAAAAAATCTTTGCAAGAAATTTCTCTTACAAAGGTCTAATTTCCAAGATATATAAGGTACTGATTCAAACTTATAATTGTAAGAACCAATCTCCAATAGATAAAATAGGCAAAATAGGATCAAGCAGTTTTCAAAGAAAGAAATCCAAACTACCCAAAAGTCATGTAAAAATGCCTTAAATCACTAATAATTTTTTATACTTTTTCTTTTTTGAAATTTTATTTTGCTTTATCAACAATCATTTCCATAAGCTTTTGAGTCTTAAATTTTTCTACCCCTCCCTGGTGTGTAATCTGATATAGGCTACATGTATACATTCCTATTAAACATATTTTCACATTAGTGATGTTGTAGGGAAGAATTAGAACCAATAGGAGGAACCACAAGAAAGAGAAAACAAAACAAAACAGAAGGAAAAAAAGCAAATAATATGCTTTGATCTGCATTCAAACTCCAGAGTTCTTTCTTTGGACGTGGATAGCATTTTCCACCATGAGACCTTTGGAGATGTCTTAAATCCTTGCATTGCTGAGAAGGGTTAAGTCTATCAATGTTAGTCATCACACAACGTGGCTGTCACTGTGTACAATGTTCTTCTGGTTCTACTCACTTCACTCAGCATCAGTCCACACAAATCTTTCCAGGTTTTTCTGAAGCCCACCTGCTCATCATTTCTTATAGCACAAGAGTATTCCATTACATTCATATACCGCAATTCGTTCAGCCATTCCTCAATTGATGGGCATTGTCTCAATTTCCAATTTTTTGCCACCATGGAAAGAGCTGCTATAAATATTTTTGTGCATGTGGGTCCTTTTCCCATTTGTATGATCTCTTTGGGATACAGCCCTAGAAGCGCTATTGCCAGGTCAAAGGGTATGCACATTTTTATAGCACTTTGGGCATAGTTCCAAATTGCCCTCCAAAATGGTTGGATCATTTCACAACTCCACCAACAAGGCATTAGTGTTCCAATTTTCCCACAACTTCTCCAACATTTATCATTTTCCTGTTTTGTCATGTTGGCCAATCTGTTAGGTGAGATATGGTACTTCAGAGTTCTTTTGATTTGCATTTCTCTAATCAATAGTGTAAATCACTAATAATTAAAGAAATGAAAATTAAATCATCTTTAGGGTTCTACCTCACACCTATCAGAATGGTAAAGATGACAAAACAGGAAAATTAAAAGAGTTGGAGGGGTTGGGGGGAAAAGATAACTATTGGTGGAGCTGTGAATTGGTCCAGAGATTCTGGAAAGCAATTTAGAACTATGCTTAGAAAGTTGCCAAACTTTGCATATTATTTGACCCAGCTATACGACCACTAGGCCTAGACTCCAGCTAAATAAAAGAAAGAAGAAAAGGACCTATATAATGTTGTTAAGTTGGACAAGTCACTTAAACTGTCTCAGTTTCCTCAGGTACAAAATGGTAATAATAATGGCACCTATATCCCAGTTGATGTGAAGATAAAATGAGGCAATATTCATAAACACTTTGTAAACCTTAAAGAGGTATATAAATGTTAGCTACAGGCAATATAAACCACTCCCCTTTACTCAAGGTCTTCAAAAAGAGGATGGATTTCTATTTCCCAGATGTGTTGTAGAAGACGGTCTTTTTCTGACATAGGTTGGAAACAGATGACCACTTAAGTTTCTTCCTGCTCTAAAATTTGATGGTCCTCTGATATATTTCCTCCTTCATTCAAAATCAGTAGATGCGGGGCAGCTAGGTGGCACAGTACATAGAGCACTGGCCCTGGAGTCAGGAGGACCTGAGTTCAAATGCGGCCTCAGATATATAATACTCACTAGCTGTGTGACTCTGAGCAAGTGACTTAATCCCACTTGCCTCACCAAGAAAACCAAACCAAACCAAACCAAAACAACCGCCCCCAAAAACCCCCAACAACAACAAAAAACAAAATCAGCAGAGGGAGAAAAGGCAATAGGACTCCTGGAGATGACAATCAGCTGTTATTTGTCGTTCAGTGCACTGTGGTACTTTGCCTTCATTTCTGTTTAATCCTTAAATCTTCCTATTTGTGGAAGTTCTATGTAGGTAGAACAAGTAGATATAAAAACCACACAAATAATCTTCCCTCTTTCCTTTTTATTAATGCTCAAAATATTTTCCAGGCCAAAATGCATAATTTATGGAGTCCTAATAAAAAGCCAAGGAGAAGATTAGAATTTCAGAGGGGGAAGGGACCTGTCAGATCTTTTTAGCCTCCCTCACGCTGCAAAATCAAATTATCTACCCAAGGCTAAAATTTAAGGCTATAGCCTTAAATAAACCAAATATTAAGAGATTGACTGAAACCTGGGACATGTTCCAGAAGCTCATGGTGACCCTAGATATCACTGAAGATTTAGATGAAGAATACTAGGGCCTGGGCTTTCCTGAGTGGAAAAGGCGAGGGATATTGCCCTTCAATGACCACTCTACTTAATAGCACAACATCAGGCCATGCTTTCTGATATACTTCTAGGCCACCCACATGCTAAAGGTCATGGAATAGGTGAGAATAAAAACAAACAAGAAAGAGCAAACCCCAAACATCATTGGCTCTTTATTAGAATAGTACAAAATTACACACACACACACACACACACACACACACACACACAATACATAAAATAGGATTCTGTAGGCATGGTGAATTATTTAGGGGAAAAAAAGTACCTCTTCTCCACCTAGAAAAATCCAAAGAGAAAGGGGAAATGTTCTTCAAGGAAGACCCACTAGGATATGAAAAATGTAATAATCAATTAAGTAGACTTACTTTATTTTTTATTTTTGCTTTTTGAAGACTGAAAATGAATGATGTCTAAGCATATTCTATGACAAATGTAAATCTAGGAAGAGGAACGTAAGTTCAGTGCAGTGGAAAACATTCTTAACTTCTTGTGGTAGGTACAGATTTCAAGAGTCGGCTTTGCTACTTTCCTACCTGTGAGACCTTGAGAAA